TGGGAGGGGGCTTGCTGATGGGGGTGCTGCTGTGGCCCCAGAGTCCCCCAGCTTTCCCCTGACGTCCCCATCCTCGCATGGGGGCTCGGGGCAGAGGCAGCCGGAGTTGGTAGTCAGCTCCTGTGAAGGGTGACATCCCGGTGGTGACTGAGGTGATGCACGGACCCCCCTGGCTGCTTTCTCCCCAGCCCAAATTCTCTGGGGGTACACAATGCCCAATGAGCATCCCAGTGGGGTGGGGGTCTGTGCTGCCCACCCAGCAAAGGGGCTGGGAGAGGGTCCCAAGCCCCTCCTTGCCATCAGAGAAGGCACAAAGCCACCTCTCCCAGGGCACATTGTTCCTTCAGGGCCTCGTGCCAATTGAGCCCCATTCCTACTGCGTGCCTCAGTTTCCCTCTTCAAGGTGGGCACAAAGCCCTGGCCACCGCTAAGGTCCTCTGCGTGTCCCCACTTGTGCCACAGCCCCATGTGGTGGCCATACTGGGGTTTGGGGGGCTCCCAACAGGGTTTCCCCTGTGCCCGCTGGAGACTCATCCCAGCATTTCGGCATTGCAGACGGGACGGGTGGATAAGAACCACCCGCTGGTGACGGGGCACACGGCACCAGTGCTGGACATCGACTGGTGTCCCCACAACGACAACGTCATCGCCAGCGCCTCCGAGGACACCACCGTCATGGTGAGGGGCCGGACGTCGGATGGGAGGGGAGGGGGGGGGGGCGGGGCCGGGGGGGGTGGCGCGGAGCATCCTCCCCCCGTCTTTGCCGCCTGCGAAGTGTCACCGGCCTATTTTTAGCCCCGGTGCCATGCATTCGCGCTGGCGGCGGCTGCTCGCTCCATGATGCAGCAGTTTGTGCTAAATATACCCATCCTGGCGACTCAGCACCAGGAATAGCTGGGGGTGGGGGGAATACTGGGGGCTGTGCACCCCCTCCCTGTGCCCACCAGCACTCCGAGTGCTGGGGATGCACCCCAGGATGCAGGCGCTGCTGCCGCCCCTCTGCCACCCTCCCCACAGCCTGAGCTGGAATTAACGATGAGGTTAATTGGCTCCAAGGCCCTCAGCCGCTTAAGCGCTCATCCGTGGGGTGATCCCCACACCCCGCTCTCTGTGTTTCTCTCCCCAGGTGTGGCAAATCCCCGACTACGTCCCCGTGCGCAACATCACGGAGCCGGTGGTGACGCTGGAGGGACACTCCAAGCGGGTGGGCATCATCTCCTGGCACCCCACTGCCCGCAATGTCCTGCTCAGTGCAGGTAAGGGGGTGCTGGGTCACCTCCCCCGGGGTCGAGGGGGATGCAGGGCACCCACTCTGTCACTCTCCACAGGCTGCGACAGCCTGGTGATCCTCTGGAACGTGGGCACGGGGGAGATGCTGCTGGTGCTGGAGGACATCCACACCGACCTCATCTACAACGTGGGCTGGAACCGCAACGGCAGCCTCCTCGTCACTACCTGCAAGGACAAGAAGGTCCGCGTCATTGACCCCC